TTTGTTTGAGTCTCTTGAGGACTTCTACGTATCACACAATAATCGCGTAAGTCTGCTCTAATGTTGTTGTTGTTGTTGTAACGGCAGAATTATGCCGAGTTGGAATTTATCAATACACTAAGGCTAGGTAGGTCGTTGTGACTTAGGAGAAGGCACACTACACGTAAGGTCGCGGTGCAATCCTCTTCTATTTATCTTAACTTAACACTCCCTTCCTATGGTCGACCCTCAAACCGCTCGTCATAAACGGCCGTTGATGAAAACCAAATTGAAACTACTACCCAAGTGGTGATTAGTTAACTGCTACAACAACAACAGCCAATACCTTCATAACTTCATACTAATCAGCTCAAAAATTGTACCATGGGCGTCGCACCACTTGTCATTAGATACGATTTCGTTTATGTCTCTCAAACTATTTCCATAACACATTTGTATTTAACAAAATAGACAAAACCGTTTTCAAAATTGACCGTTATTATTAGAATAGGGTCAAAAAAGTAATGTGGTTAATTTGGGTGAAATCCATCTAGATGCCCAACAGATCGAAATCTTTCCTTAGTTGACCTCAAACCGTATAAAACAATTAATATGTGAGTATCTTAAAGAAATTTGTTAAAATGTTGCTCCCAGGTGATTGTGAAGAAATATAAATCGGTCCACTAAGCCCTTAAAAATAAAATAATTTCAGTTTAAAAATTGGAGTAATAAAAAAATTTGTTTTTAAATTAAAAGCTGAAATGAAAGTTTATGAAAAAGGAAATATTGTAAATCTTCTAACGAAAACACTATACTTTAAAGCAATTACACTTAGAAGACAAAAACTGTTGAATTTGTTGCATTATTTAAAATAAGCTTTCCTTTTCAAAAGATAATCAAAATGTAAAACACGAGGTACGCAAACTCGAAAACGTAATAAATAAATACTAAAACAATTTATTTATTTTTTAATTACAAAATTGGGATTACCATTATTTTTTTCATTCGATTTTAGATTAGGTATTTTTTTAATTACATATTTTCTATTCGCGTATTAAAAGAGTTTCCATTTGTCACTTGTTTTATTATTTTCATACTTTTAAGGAACTTATCAAGCGGAACTCTGAATTGGGCCTTCTTGCACTTGCGTTGCCGCAGGTGGCACAAAACTCGGTACGCGTTTTACTTTCCACACCCAGCACTATGGTTAGCGGACAACATGTAGCCGCCAGCGGTATTGACATAGAGGTTTAACCCGCCGTTGCTCTTGATAGAATATTTTCATTTAAAGCGTATATTTAAATATTACAGTCGAATTTTGCGGATGAACCCATTTGGAATAAAATGGAAGAGATGCTTGTGGCAACAGTGGATCCCAAAAAGGCTTTGGTATTCAAACCAACACGTTTTCTCTTCTCTAAGGAGTGCCCGGCAATAGAAAATCCACTGGCTGTGCAAGGAGGTGAGCAATTTTGAGAAAGCTGAAATGTCTTTATGATTAGATGTATCTTTGAATTATATTATTTTTATATATTTTCCAGAACCGATTGAGTTATCCGTAACGGTATTTAACACTGTCAAATGCAGTATTACCTTAAATGGCATCGATTTGCTTTGGCAACTCCAGCTGGATAATGGCGAAATGCTTGCGAATGAATCGCTATACACCCACAATGAAGAGAGTCCGAGTAATTAAGCTTTCATGGGTTTACGTCAAGCTCTTAAAGACTATATTTTCCTTTAACTTCAGGTAAAGCCGCCGTTAGCGCCGCAATCAAAACCAACTGTGTGCCTTCCGTCGTATTGGATGAGCGCTGCGAACATACGATTCACTTTAAAATTACACCAAAATTAACGGGACTTTTGAATATAATTGGCGTCGTGGGTGAGGTGGTACTCACAGCGGAGCCCACTGCCTATTTGCAAGGCATGCTGAAATTCGTAACGCCGCAAGTTAAGGTGAAAGGCAAACAAACCACACAAATGTTGATGGATAATAAAATGAGCATTAAAGTAACACCGGCTGTGCCGGCCATGTCTGTTAGCTTCACGCAACTACCAACGGACCTAATAGCCGGTGAAATACTGCCTGTAGTGGTGAGCCTGCGAAACTCTGGCATTGTGCCGATCGAGGATGTTTTCCTTTGCTGTGATCAACCGCGCTGGCTGACTTTGACAGATGTAGATACGGAAGTACCGTTATCTATATTGAAATGTAAGGCTTTTAAGCCAGATTTAATTTTCGTTGTACATTAATTTGTAATAACTTATGTATGCCCTACAGCTGTTAAAGACCTCTCCAACGAGAAGTTATCGAAAGATCGCGAGCTGCGTCGTCAACGTGTTTTCCGCTTGCTAAAAAATGAAAACTCCGTTAGTTTGAAACCCCAAGAGTGCACAACTGTGTCGATGCACATACAGGCGCCCTTCCAGAAGGGCGATTTCACATTGCGTCTTCTCTTCTTCTATAGTTTGCCAGATGGGACTAGTGCGTCCATTAAATACCGTCTGGTGCGCCACAATTGGCAATTTCAAGTGCATGAGAGTCTGCATGCTGCAGTGACATGTGTGATAAGCAACACGTTGTCGGGCGAGCTGGGTCTTGATGTTGCTGTTAAGAATGAGAGTAGCGCGAAAAGTTTTGTTGCAAGCGATATGTATGTTAATTCCATTGGAGTATATAGCGCCGACCATAATATGAACAGGAATAAGCTCTACAGTAAGTTGCAGCATTTATAAGTTGTCTTTAATGTGCCAAATTTTATTTACAGTTACCAATCAGATGGGCATTTCTACTGGCAGCGATGGCGGTAAGTTGGTTTAAAAAGCTAGAAAAAATGCTTTTTTTTTAAGGTATTGTTGACTTAAAATCGGTTTTATTTCATTCAGCGCGCTTTCTGCCAATGGGCAAATCAATGAATTTCCAGTGCCGCCTTGAACGCAACAAAAGCAAATCCACTTCGCCACCTGTAAAGTTGCTTTATGAACGCGTTTCATTTGTTAACGTTATACCCGCTATCCATGCTAATAAAGCACACACACACATTCCTTCCGTTCACGAAATGTACGGCTTTTTGGCTAAACATGAGACTTTATTCTTCAACACCAACATCAATACAGATGAATTCAACAGCGCTATAGCGGACACAGATCCACACACTACAGTAGTGTTAAATTGGGCGGCACAAGTTAAACTTTATCAAGACGAGACTCATCGTTTGGTGGCTGGCCAACACTTTATACAATTACGCAATCTTTATGAAAGTTCCACATGTCTGGGCGTGCAAGCAGCACAACACGCTTTTGTCGATATTATAGCAAAACCCCCCCAACAGATGCGCAGCATTGCCGAGTTCGCGCTAAATGACACGGATGCGCAGCCCTTTGCTGTGTTTGCCGATGAGCAGCGTTGGATGGACGATGATGATGATGATGACGCTGAGGAGGCTGATGACAACGCGTCATTTTGGGAGGTGAACACAGATTACGTTGGCAAGCGTTGTTTGTTGCTGGATGAAAGTTTAACACTTGCTGTGAAAGTTTGAATATACATGTTTTATCTTAGTTATTTACTATAATTCTTATTAATGCATAGTTTCTATCAATGCCACAGTGCAATCTATATATATAATAGTGTCCTGTTAGTTACACCTCATAACTCAAGACGGCTGCACGGATTTGGCTAAAAATTGGTGGGGAGGTAGTTTGGAACTGGGGTAAGAACATAGGATGCTCATAAACGCAAAAATTTAAATATAATTTTAATATATTTTTTAATTATAAGTATTTGTTAAAAATTAATTTTTGTAGGAATCATTTGATTATATGCATACAGTTTTAAACAAATTCTTCCTCAAAAATTAAACAATTACTAAGTGTTGGAATAGTATATAATTGTAGAAAATAACTGTAATCTAATACGCAGTGAAATAGGTTATAACTGGCTCAGTAATCAGTCGTTGAGTATGTATTATACCACGTGCATCCGAGCCGACCTTTTCGCCTTTCCACATCTGAGAACCGGTTCATCATGTGCAGTCCACTAGAATGACTGTCGATTGGACTCCAGTGGGTCTTGATGGAGCTCGCCCGCTCCGCAGCCTTCACCAAGATGGTAAGACCCGAACCCATGAGAATGTTTCCGGATAGGGATCTCATTGCCTCGCTCGCACCCGGTAGTCTATTGGACTTCATTAATGTGCTGGGGCTAAGCGAGTCACTGTGAGGCAGGAGAGGGCACAATAGATCAAAAGTCGCGGTGCTTTCCCTATCTTCATTCATTCAATGTTCCTATTGTCACTCACCGACGCAAAAATTCGGTTTCACTACGATTAAAAAGCACTCGAACACTTCTCAGAATCAGTTATTCGTTGTTTGTATTGGGGGATTATGAACTTGTGAGACACCTATTTTGCACGGATCTTCTTTAGGGCGTTGTTGTTGTTGTTGTTTTTGTTGTAACGGCAGAAATTTTGCCGAGTCGACAGTCCTTGGCGGGATAAAAATCCGGGTCCGTTCCGGTTTTCGTAGACCCGACTGTCTTTAGAGCGTCATTGTCTTCGGTGCTCATTTTACCTGTTTCCAGCTTAGCAAATATGTTTCAACGGTGGGTTTGCCTGCTTTATTAACACACAAAATGCTTTATGATCCATTTTTTTGTAAACTAACACAAGTTGCTTTCCAAAATTGCTATATCTCATTAACTAATAGTTATAATGCAACTAATAGAAATCATATAAATGGTAGTAGTAGTATTATCTATATATCAGCCACAGTGAAGCTTGGCGGGTAACCTAGTAAATAATTTTTTTTTTTGTTAAATACATTTTATTTGCAATCTATTTTAGTAATTTGATAACAAAACCATAATTTGACTTATATTTTTGATCAAAAGGGGTGAAAGTTGCTTCAAGGTATTTACTAAATGAATTAGCTTTACTTTTATCTGTTCAAACGTTGTTACTGTCTTTGATAGATACATTTCTTTTTTTAGGCCGTTTTAAATAATAAAAAAATGTATATATATTAAGTAACTGAATGTTATTTTAATTAAAATTTGCTAATACCAGACAATTTCACTAAATACTACGTTATTTAACGAACATTAGACTAGATAAACACAGCTTGTGTTTATTTATTGCTGCACAAACTTAATAGACAAGGTGTTGTCTAAAAAACTGGCATTTTGGATTTTCCTTAGCGATACAAATTTAGTTGAGCAACTAATTCTCGCTCGTCGATTTCCTTCGTGTTTAAGTCGGCCTCCTGCTTCTTTAACAGTTCAAAAATCGCCGCAAGCTGTTCTCGTTCGATTCTAGAAAATTATGTTTTCATAAGCATCACTAATTATTTTCCTCATTATGATACTCACTTTCTTTCCTCCTCCAATTGGTCGCGCGTCAATTGAGCTTCCAACTCTTTGAGCCGCGCTGATTTCATTTTACTAACTAGACCATCACCTAACGGATTATCCGTGTCGACTTCGCCTTCGTCACTGCAGTCATATAAATTGCCCTCAGCTGTCAGTAGATTAGGCTGCTCTTCAACTTCACGATCCAAGCGAGAGCCATACAACTATTTTATATAGTAATTAGTTAATTTTTACTAAAAGTATTCTTAATAACAATCACCCCAATATCCTTCACCAAATGGGAAAAGTAGAATGCTAGTATAACGGCAGCTAGCATCGTCACAGTGCTTAGCAGGTAAACATTATCAAATGAATCGAAAATTTCTGCAATGCCTAATAGCCCACTCATATTCTTAGCTCTTTAATTCACAAAATATATTATACGTTTAAGCAAACGCAAATATGGTTAAAATCTACCGCTTTCGGCAAAAGAATTCGTCAGTAAAAATAAATAAACAAACACGAAACCCCGAGAAAAGAGAATTTGCATAAATATCTCTGTACCTAAATTGTTATTTAATTCAATCACTTGCGGCAAAAAAATTGCATTGATTAAAGGTAAATAAACAAACTCGAAAACCTAACAAGAGAGAAAATGCATAAAAATATTTGCCAAAATAATCAACAGGGTTGCATAGCATGTCATAACTGAAGTACAAAATTAGATTTTCTCACTCTATGCTGTTTTTGGCGCAAATAGTTGTCATGCTTGAAAATTATTTAAATAATACAAAATAGTCAAAATTTTATTATTAAACTGATATGTACGTATCTCTTAAAGATGTATAAAATAAAACTAAAACTTTTTAGTCCTTTTTAATTTTTTCAAATAAGTGGATCGGAATAATTTGTAACATTAGTTTATGCCTTGACTTCCACAACTTATAACGGTAAGCTGATGCCGTTATCAAGCTTTTTCGTTTTTACTTCTTACAATCGGATTCTAACGATTTAATTGAACAAAGAAATTTAATTATTTGATTTAACTGTAGCTGTTAAACAAACAAGAAAAGAAAAAAGAATCAAAAATGCTGAAGAACTTTGAACAGGGATCGAGGAGGTACACAATTCCACGAACTAGGTGCGAGAAGTTAATTAAGAGTTGGCTCCGACGATTCAAAGTAATTTCGAAAAATTGTAAACACACTATAAAATATTAACGCTGTGAGGGCTTACTACTGAAGTTTCCGGAACATTTATACATGCATATACCCACATCCGGAAGTATTTTATCCTGTATTTTACATCCGACCAACACCAAACACCCGATTAAGATATGCTCTCTTCTTGAGTAGTTTCTTTTATACACAATTGAAAGACATCAGATCGAATTTAAATTGTATATATTCTTGACATTATAAATTGTAAAAAATATTCGATTTACCAAGACGCTGCATTGGTTTAGCTGAAACACAGCTGGTATATAATGTCACAAAACCGAAAATAAAACTCATAGATTTGTGAATTAGTTATGAAATTTATTTATTTCAAACATGGCTCGATTTTTGAAAAATGTATAATTTTCATTAATAAACGTAATTTAACTTCAACTCAAATATTGTTTCTTCAAAGAACATAAACATTTTCCAAACTCAATTAAAAATTAAAATACATTTCAAATATTTACAAATTTTGCTTAGCAACTTTGTACTTAAATTAAATTCATTTGTACTTGTTGGTTAACATAGCTCTTTTTGTTGTAAAAGTTCAGATATATTAGTAAAGGTGCTACCTGTTGGTAAGGGTGCCATTTTATTATTCAAAGAATTGGAATTAAAATTGTGAACTTAAATTTTAGCCCTCAATGTCTGGGTGCAAAAATTGGGAATTTAATTTTTAAATTACAAAATTCTAAAATGATTAATATAAATCGTTTGAATATGTAAGTTAGCCGGTCACTACTCTAGAGTATTGAATATGATGACGCAAGAGCGAAAATTCTTTTGTGAAATTTTTAATTATAGACATGTTATTAAATTTTTTTTTGTAATCAGTATTTGAGATTAGTACATTGAAATATGTTAAATAGTGAATATGTTTAGTTAATATTTTTGAAAACACAACATAAAAAAGTTTAATTAATTTAAATTCAATTATTTTCAACTCTCTCAAGCTTTATGGAAGGTATAGCTGAGTTTTGTTTATTTACCGCGCCACTCAGATGAAAGTTTTCCTCTTCGGAAAACACGATTTTCTTAATTATTTATTATTATTTTGATAATAAGATTGAATAATTTGTAAACGTTGTTCCTGCGTATATCTTTCCATGATGAAATTGTAAACATTACTGAATACACTGAAAAAAAATTAAAGATCATGACATCTTAAAAAGGCCGAGACGACACTTAGAAATTATATCATCTCTATTGGAAACCCGGATATTTTAAACTATCGAGCGGTCCGACTTGTCAAATAAAGTGTTATAAGAGATTATCTTCAAAATATCGAAGTTTAATTAACTGAAAATTCAACAACTACAAATTAGGCACAAGCAATGTGGATTGGCAACATATGTTCTTAGCTCCAGAGTGCCTTCTCGATATTTTTCAAAACATGGTCCGTAACCGGATGGGCTTCTGATTAACTAAGATAAGAAAAAAATTATTCGAAACCATTTTTTTTTAAATAAAATTGCAGTTTTGAAAATTGAAAAGGATATTCTGTTGGCATATCTTTTATAAATGGCTTTACCCTACCTTTAATCTTTAATCATTTCATTTAATTTATTGTTTTTGTAGCGGCCGGGTCCGTTTCGGTTACAGTCATTTGAAGTTGCTTACAAGTAATATATTCTAATTTATTAGCTGTTATTGAAAGAATAAATTATTCGCAACGGCAAATATATTATCTCCAGAAACTGGTTGCTATTAACTGTGAAAATTTTACAAATAAGCATGTGTTTTCTTATAAATGTATCCTATATCGTAGATTTAAAAGAACATAAAAGAATGAACTAAGGGAGGATTGATGCGCCAATAGGCGTATGTCATTATATTTAAGTTTAAGCTTTGAAACATCAAAATACATATAAAAATGTAAATAGTTTTGAAAATTATATTATAATTGCAATTTTTAAACTTAAAAATATCAAAAAAATCGCATGCTAAATAAATCAAGTTTGTACTTCATATAAAAGTTCAAAAAAATACTATTTCAATATGAAATCTTTTATTAAAAATAATGATTCTTACGTATTAACGCCACCGCAGCAATTAATTAATGCGATGTCCTTAGTTTTTTCACTTAGAATTCAACACACCAACAAAATAACCGGTCTTGGTCCAACACCGAGATCCTTTCGCTTTGATCTCTCTTCTAATTGCCATTACATTTATGCTGTTGTGACGTCAATATATAAGTACGATATTAATTTAAATTATTTCACTAATTATGGTATTGTAATTAAATTAGTTTATTTGTTATTATTTCTTCGTTTAACAGTAAATGAACACATTTAACCTACATTCGTACCGTCTGAGAGCAATATTGATATTGTAATGCTTCAAAGCTTTTTTTCACAGCCAATAATCATTATGCACGATGTTGATGTTATACTTTTAGTTATGGTTAATTAATTAAAAACTAGGTGCATCGCACTTGAATTTGTATTTACTCTAAATACACAAAATATTGAACAGCACGAAAAGGGTTTCATTCTCATTCTGCTAATTCATTGAATTTGAAATCAAAATCTTTTTCACTACGTTTTATATGCTGAAAGCCAGCTCGACTCTTACGTTGCATTCCCAAAGGTGTAGTGGCATCTTCACTTTCACAAAATGTTTTTGAAAATATCTCACATTGATTGTAGAAATTATTCAGCATGTGTTTATGAAGAAGATGTTCATGCAATTTTAATTGCATTATTGCTTTTTTTGCCAATAGTAGACGTACTACTAAAGTCAGCGGCCGTTTATATGGGTCGTTGGGTAACTAAGGAAATAAAATAATTTATATTTAGTATTAAAGAAAAAATTATATATACATTTTATATTACAGTGCTTTCTTCCTCAGGATGAAAGAAAATTTGAGTTACATTTAATATCTTCTCAACAGCTTCTATTAAAGTCAATGGTTCTTTGATCCCTCGTATGATAGATACCGCTACAAAAGTATCGAAAATTCCACCTATTTTAACGTCGTGCCGATATTTAAGGTGATCAACTAGTTTATGACTATAATGTACCACTTTCCGAGGTCTCTCAGCCTCAAGTAGATGCTTCATTTCCCGAAATATGCTACCTAATGCTATAATGTCGAATATGTAGACGGTTTGAAACGTGGCTAGTACCATCACGGATGTGCGATGTGCGCGACCATAGTCCACCGGCTCGATAATAAGTGCAACAACTGGTTGGACACGAATGTCTGCTAATGCTTTGTGATATTTCTGATCAGTCTGCGTAATGTATACCATCGAATTTAGTTGCTCGTGTATCAGATCTAATTCAGATGTACTAAGCGAGATATCACTTTCTTCTGATGTTGCAAGTTTACTTTCTGATGATGCAGGTGATGTAATCGAATCACTGCAGCTATTTGAGTTACTCGAAGGTTCATCTTCTCTTATAATCTGTAATTTTTTAATTTGAGGAAAAGCTAAAATTTGCGGCGTGTTATATTGACAATTTGAACGCTGGTCATAAGGGTTCTCTAATTCAATTATCCTGCGCTTTGGATCAACAAACTTTAATGTGCCTGTCAATAATTCACTGGCTGTTTGCACCAACAGCATCTGTCCCAATTGTAGCGTGATGTCCAAAGACTCCATATTTTATATTTACTGTTAAGAGCTAAAGCCGTTTTGCAGTATAAAAAGATGCCAAGATAATCTTATACTTGATTTAAAACATTTAATACAGGATAAAATGCGGTTTTTTTTACAATTTTTTTTAGAAAATGACAGCACTTTGCACAATTGTTTCCAAAAGCGTTGTTAGCATGGTACAAGGGTTGCTACCACAAAACAAATTTGACTAGTAAAGTAAGCAAAATCAACTGTCAATAACAGGGTTGCGTTTCAATGTAATTTGATAAAGTTTTTATGAAGGGTTTACTTTTTTCGTATTTTCTGAAATATTAAAATTAACTTAAGATTTTTTAAAATTATCAGAATAGAATAGAAAATTATTACAAAATATAAACCAAAGAATTTTTTTTTACATGTTGACATAAGTTATATATATCTTTATTACTGTGGAAAAGAGAGTTATCGGTCGATAGGATTCCTTTGTTGGCGGGTTATCCAGGTACCACTCCGATTTTATTCCATGAGGGCCAATGGATTTAGAAAATTCTGTGAAGACGACTCAGTTAGCTTTATTGAAGTTAACGAAGGTACTGTTCTCCACAGAAATAAAGTCGGGAGGTTATGCTATTTATCAGACCACCATTAGCCATGGGAACATCGAGCGAGTTATTATAGGTGTATCCCGGCTGATGTGGAATTGCATGACATGGTTTTACTAGTTTTTCTTGACTCGATCTTTCGTGTTGAATGGTTGTTGGCGACTTTGAGTTATGAGAATTCCTTTGTCAACTTGCTTCCACGGCTCTCAGAACGTTGGGATGTTACACTAAAATATTATAGCTTTGCGTCAGGCAACGTGGAGCTAGAAATATTTAATATACATATACAGTAGTACCTCGACATACAAGTTTTTCGAGATACGAGCCGACGAGCAAGTGATTTTTAGCTTTTAGTTACGAGCGAAATTCGAGATACGAGTGGCCTGAAAGGATTTATGAAAAATTGGAACCCGGTGTTTCAGTAGAGGAGAAGATTGGGAAATCCATGGGTCTAGAGGGGGAAGAGAGAGACGTGAACGAGCTCATCGAGGAGCACACTCAGGAACTGACGACTGAGGAGATACAAGAGTTACAGTCACAGCAGCATACTGAGGTTATGCAAGAAATTGGTTTTGAGGAGTCAGAGGAGGAGGTTATTTCTACAAGTGAGATAAAGGAGATCTTAGGAATGTGGGAGAGAGTTTCACAGTTCGTGAAAAAAAACACCCAGAGAAAGTGGCAAAAGGTCGTGCATCTGACCTTGCCTAACTCATTTCCGGAACATTCTGAGAGGGAGGAAGAAACAAACCTCCTTGAACATGTTTTTTTCTAAACGGCCTACAGGTGAAAGCGAGAAAAATTTAGCGAAAAAGGGAAAGACCAGTGAGGATATCTAATTTATTTCTTTACATTCTCTTTTTTGTTTTTGTGTAAAAAATATTTGATATTTATAAATACGTTTTTATTATTCAAAACCACGTAACAAAAATAACTGGGGTGACATTTTCTGGTGGTTGGAACGGATTAATGGTAGTTCAATTGTTTTGAATGGGGAAATTTACTTCGAGATACGAGTAATTGAAGATACGAGCAGGGTTGCGGAACGAATTAAACTCGTATGTCGAGGTACCACTGTACATACATTACACGATATTGACGTCGGGGACTTCAATCAATTACATGCGTAGTTAACACCTATGATTTCCTCATTGCAAGAATCCTGACGCTCATATTTACAAACTGGAGGAAGATGGCAAAATAATTCTAAAATTTTGGGTGTCATGTTTGATAGCCATTTCCTTTATTGCCAAAGCGTAGAGCTGCAACAAATCAACAAGTTACTAGCCGGAAGCATCTGGGGAAAGGAGATGTTCGCAACTTGAAAGACAGACGGCCGGTCGTTTACTAATTATGCACCGTGGATGCACAAGGAAGGGCGCAGATGATGAAGATTTATGCTTACATAACGAGGCCTGTATGCTTCCTATCAACGAACTACTCTCTAAATCGGTTTCTGCTGGAATGCTTTCGCCGTATTTGACTCCCTCATAGTGAATGGGTTTATTGACCATCACGCAACGAAGTTCTGAATACTGTAGAATTGACCTGCTTATTTAGAATCGACCCCGACATTCCATATTTATGTTTTGTCTCTTTGCATGCATTCTGCCTTTTTACAATTCCCATGAAACCAACCATGATCCGACTCTTTTGACAGGATCAATAAAATTTTTAATTCATGACCAGCGAAATTGTTGACTCAATTCAAATCCGTTCTCCACGCAAAGTTTGTCTTATATAATAATACCGATTTCCGAAAAATTAACATACATATCTCTAATAAACGGTATATATAAGTATATACATTTTTTCTGCCCAAAAAGCTCTTTTAATTTTCTCTGCAGACTCGCATCTCGAATTTTTTAAATTTACGCCAATACAAAGACTGCTATAAATAGGAAGCAAACAAAGGGAATCAGTGACAAATACTGAAACACAACACACATAAGCCGTCGATAAATACACCGAAGGATATTCAGCGCGAAATGGAAAATTTTAAATTGCCTCTGCTTTTGTATAAATGCTTAAATCAGTGAAAATCCGCAGTTGAAATACTTATCAAACAATATGTGAAATGTAAAGTGAGAAAGCGGAAATGGCGTGAGGAGCGAAGAAATAAGACATTGGTTTTTCTGTTATCGTTTGAGGTGAGGCAACAGGCGGTGGTTATGGAGACTCAGCTGTTAAGATCTGATAAAATCAGAACGGCAAGCGCAAATTAACAAAAGAATTATAAATTCCGTTATTGGAAACTTCAGGAATGCACACATATGTAGCTGACAGAAGTCTAATTATGGATATTTTATTAATAAATCTTAAAGTGGAGCTTATAAAAAATGGGAAAGAACATAAAAATTTGAAAGCAAGATTGGCGATGAATGTAAGCAAAACAGATGAGTCTCTAACTTCTAAATAAACAGTTCACAACGAATGGTACTTTCAACCATCATTTATTTGAACTCAATTGTTTGGATGCATTTACCTTTTAGATTTCATTATAAGCCGACCCACTATTAAAACTAAGATTAGATGAATTTCTTCTTCTTGATTGGCGTAGACACCGCTTACGCGATTACAGCCGAATTAACAACAGCGCGCCAGTCGTTTCTTCTTTTCGCTCCGTGGCGCCAATTAGATATTCCAAGTGAAGCCAGGTCCTTCTCCACTTGGTCCTTCCAACGGAGTGGAGGTCTTCATCTTCCTCTGCTTCCCCCGGCGGGTACTGCGTCGAATACTTTCAGAGCTGGAGCGTTTTCGTCCATCCGGACAACATGACCTAGCCAGCGTAGCCGCTGTCTTTTAATTCGCTGAACTATGTCAATGTCGTCGTATATCTCGTACAGCTCATCGTTCCATCGAATGCGATATTCGCCGTGGCCAACGCGCAAAGGACCATAAATCTTTCGCAGAACTTTTCTCTCGAAAAATAATGTTTAAATTTCGATAAATGCTACCCATCGCCAGACTTTAAGACGTATTTCAACAGTAGATTTTCTGGTAAAATCGATGCAGCTCTGTAAACTACGATTGGAAAACTAAGACTCCTGATACCACCAAGGTTTTAGTTGGCATGACTTTCTCTATATAAAGCATATCATAAAAAAATAGTATATTACCTACGCATTAGCTAGAGAGTCGATTTTCACAAGCTTATCTTGGAGTGAATTTTTTATCAACAAAATAAGCTATACAAGTCTTACATGTCAGACTGGACGATTTCCATTATTTTGACAACAATGCACCTATAATCTTAATTCTATTTTCAACGATGAATCTCCATATTCTTAGTGGTATACAACAAGAAATTAGGAAAACCAAACGCTGAAGACGCATCACTCTTCCCCACGACAATGCTAGCTCTCAATATTTGACCGAAAACACTGTAATTTTCGAGCACTCAAAACATCAATTTGATGAGTCATCCACCGTGTAGTTCTGACTTAAGACTATGGGAATGAGTTCCTTTATTTCCGTACGTTAGAGATAAACTAATATTTTGAAAAATATTTTTTGTATTTATTTATTTAAAAGAGAAATAATTATAAATAAATAATAAGCACTGGCTGCCAGGGCCTTCAGCTTATGTTATAAAATCTTAGTCTATTATATTCACATTTGAGATCGATTTGTATAACGTAAATTTAGATACAATAAAAAAGATAAATTTCAAAGCAAAAGTAAATGGGTGCATGTATGTAACTAAACTAAATATTTAATTTGCAAAGCGAAATATATTTAGATATGATTTTTATGTTACTGTCATCAGTCCGTTCTTGATATAAAGAAGGTTTTTTGTTAGAAAAAACATTAGCTCTGATTCGTTGAAGTGCCGGGCAGGTATCGAGGAGGTGTATAACTGTGAGATCATTTRATCYGCAGAACACGCAATTTGGTTTATTTACGCCATTTAAGATGTGAGCATGTGTAGCAGTTGTGYGTCCTATTCGAAGTCTTATAAATGTCCTTATATTTTTACAAGTTGCTTTTCCTGGGTATAAAGGCTTTGTTCCCGCAGGATTAGATTTTTTGTAGTGGTGATCGTGATTACTCCATTCTCTTACTTGTATTTCATTTACATATGTTTCAACAAGTCTGTGTATATCTTTATCGCTGAAATAGTCAAAGAAGTGAAGTGGTTGTTTGGAAGCTTCTTTAGCTTTTTTATCGGCACTTTCGTTGCCATAAATTCCGATATGGCTAGGCTAGGCACCCACATTATTTTTATACAGTTATTGCTTTGCAATAGCATGCTACGAATATTGGATATTAAAGGTTCATTATTGGTATTAAACATAGCTTCAATTGCAGATCTACTGTCGGTACATATAATGCGTTTATTTCCCATTCGGGAAGCAAATTGTACTGCCTCAAATATTGCGGCTGCTTCGGCAGTAAATACCGAGGAGTATAATGGCAAGTAACCGACCATAATAGTAACACCTAGCTGGTTTGTTACAGCAAACGTTGTGCTGGTGTCTGACTTGGATCCGTCCGACTTGGGAAGGCGCGAATGCTTCTTCTGACTGCTGCGTGGTAGGGAGCGTTCAAAAGCTTAATGTTTGTATTAGCGCTATGTCCGTAAATCCAAAGTCCGAAGTCAATTTT